TCTCTGGGCCCTGGGCAACCCCCGGGAGCCCCCCAGCCGGGTCCCGGGAAGAGGGGGAGGGCTGGGGGGCATCGGGTGGCTTGCACCTGGCACGGGCATCGTAGCCAGCCCGTGCCCCTTTAAGGGGTCCGGGGCCGGGAGGGGGGCAATAGAGTTTCCCTGGTGTTGGCCAGAGTGGCCACCAGGGAAAGCTGGGGAGGGCTAGCCTCCCACTAGTTCGAATTAAGGGGCTACACACCCCTTAATTCGAACTAGTAAATTCGAACTAGGCTTAGTCCTCGTAAAATGAGGTTTACCTAGTTCGAACTAAGCGCTCCGCTAGTTGGAATTAAGTTCGAACTAGCGGAGTGCTAGTGTAGCGCCTATCAAAGTTAATTCGAACTAACGTCCGTTAGTTCGAATTAACTTTGTAGTGTAGACATACCCTTATTGCCCTTATATAAATCCATGGCATCTTGAATACTGCGTACAGATGTGGTCTTCTCATCTCAAAAAAGATATACTGGCATTAGAAAAGGTTCAGAGAAGGTCAACTAAAATAATTAGAGGTTTGGAATGGGTTCCATATGAAGAGAGATTAAAAAGACTAGGACTTTTCAGCTTGGAAAAGAGGAGACTAAAGGGGGATATGATAGAGGTATATGATATTATGAGTGGTGTGGAGAAAGTGAATAAGGAAAAGTTATTTACTTCTTCCCAGAATATAAGAACTAGGGGCCACCAAATGAAATTAATGGGCAGCAGGTTTAAAACAAATAAAAGGAAGTTCTTCACACAGTGCACAGTCAACCTGTGGAACTCCTTGCCTGAGGAGGTTGTGAAGGCTAGGACTATAACAGGGTTTAAAAGAGAACAAGCTACATTCATGGAGGTTAAGTCCATTCATGGCTATTAACCAGGATGGGTAAGGAATGGTGTTTCTAGCCTCTGTTTGTCAGAGGGTGGAGATGGATAGCAGGAGAGATCGCTTGGTTCACTCCCTCTGGGGCACCTGGCATTGGACATTGTCACAGACAGGATGCTGGGCTGGATGGACCTTTGGTCTGACCCAGTATGGCCATTCTTATGTTCTAACGTTTTAAATATCTAACTGACCTTACAAACAAGCAAGAGCTGCCGCCAAACCCCTCAGGAGGCAAAGTACTGAGTGTAAATTACTTGAATTGTTCAAGCACATGAAGAAAAACTAGTTTTGTCTTAGAAAAAACTTCAGTAAGTTCAAATCCAGCTATGAATTACTTTCTTAAGGTTGTTCTCAAGGGATTGCTTTGGTTGTCCTTATGTCATGAGTGATGTAGAAAATTCTAAGATTGGTCATCTTTGCTAAAAGCCTGAAATTGCCAACAAAATAAACATCTCCAGGTCTAATAACATTTAATTTGACATGTATTATCTTCTTAATTCAAAAGGACAAATATCTCATTTTCATCTGGACCACCCAGAGGCCAACCTGAAAAATGTTCTATTAGATGAAGAAGATAGGCAAGTTGGTAATCTCTTACCAAAAACTGTATCTACCAGGCGTCGCTGTGCAAACATGAGCATTCATGTGAATAATCTTGACCATTCAGAAGGGGCTTATTTGACCAGAGAATTTTGTAAACAGAATGAAACTAAACTTGATGGAAATCTAGAAAGAGACAATATAGAGCCAAGTCATTCTCAGCTGAATGAAAACAAGATAAACACGGAACCAATGTTGGATCAAGCCGATATGTCGACTGAATTGAACTGCTCAGTTGCAAAACCTAAACATAAACAAATACAGTTTAAAAGCAGAGAAGACTCTCAAACAAGAAGAGAGAAAGTGAAAAAAGGAAAATTAGAAGGAAGTAAAAAGACTTCCGGAACAAGATCAAAAAGAGAGAGAAACCAGGCTGAACAATCTTCCACAGCAAAAGTGAATTTATCAATTGGCTCCAATAAAGCTTATGATTTTCAGTTTGAGGAAAATGTCCATATCACACCTTTCCGACAAAACAAGATGAATGATTGTGACCATGACATGGATGAAAAAAAGGATACATCTGAATATGAAACACAGAGCAGTGAAGACAGTGTTTCAGAAGAGAATTCTGATGATAGCCTGTATGTGCCTTATAGGAGTAAATCAAAACATAGGAAGAGTTCACAGTGTAAAAATGATGGAAGTCCCGTCCATACAAGGCCACGATCTAAAAGATCTGTGGTGTGTCAGCAACAGAAAACTAGTAATGAAAAGGAGAGTAAGAATACTACGTCAAATGAAAAATCTATCAGTAAGTGACTGACTTTTGGAAAGCATGTTGTATTTTTCACCATTTTTAACAGTGGTTTATTGCTGTTTTAGTCAGTTAAATATGCTAATTTTTAAAGCATTTAAAACTATTAAGTTATTGAAATAAATTTCATATGAAGCATTTTTGTAAATGTCCCTATTTCTGCCATGGGATGAGTTGTAGTTTTAAGGTGTACTTTCCTAATTTCCTTTTAAACTGAGTTAATGCTTTTCTCAATGGCAATTTAATTCTCCCCAGACTAAATGTATTTGAAGGTGTCTTGAGGATAAAGTAAGTCCAGAAACAGACAAAGGATAAATCCAAAAGTCGCATAAATGGTTTTATAATGTACTAGGCAATAAGGATGCCTAGTACATTAAAGTCACAATACATTTTGTAGCTCCGTTAACCCATCACCTGGGTTCTAATGTTTTTTGCACACATACAGGCCTCCTCAAACTTAGTAATCCAGACTAAGTTTTGCCACTCAGGATTTATGTCAGTTAATGAATTGTACTTGCTGTTCCTTTGGGTGGATTATACTGAAGTTATTCAAAGCTAGTCTAGGAATTCTGGATTGGAGTGTGATTAGCTTGAACCAAAGAGAATAAAATACGCATGTTTAGGAAGACTAAACCTTTACCACCAGTCAAAATTTCCAGGGAGACCGTTGTCACAGTAATTCAGTGGCTCAAGAAGACATGCTGTGATCATTGAACCTCAATCATATCCAAGCACTGAGAGTTTTATACTACCCTTGGCAGCCTTTAGAGAATGAGGGCTGAGCTCACTACCTTATTCAGCAGTCGCTCCTTATGGAAATTTTGCCATGAGAGCAACTCTTATTTGAGTGTTATTTTAAAGTGCTCTAAAATCCATATGTGGACCGTGGTGATTTTACTTTAGAAGTATTGCCAAAGAAATGAGCATTAATTAAATTGAGGTCAGAAAACAATAAGCAGTCAGGGATCTCTAATCATCTTGGCCAGTGAAACTTTGTGTTATCAAAAGAAAGCAGCTGCAGGGTTGTTTGGTACAGATGTTCCTGATGCACAGCTCCTCTAATATGGCCTGCTCATAACATGAACAGCTCATAACATTTCCAGATTTTCATAACTTTTCTGGTGTAAATCTAGGGAATATGGTGGATTGCAGGAATGAGGAGCAGTGTAGGGAGGGAAGATTGGTGAATGAGGAGGAGGGAGACTGTGGCTAAGTGGGGTTGGATTGTAGGGAAGGGGATTAAGAGATTCATTTTGGGAAGTTCAGGAAAGCCACAAGATACTTCTAAGCAACCTTCACTTGTGTTAAGGATGTTTTGGGCATTTAATTTTTTTCTTTGACTCTACAATATTGTCAAACTCAAGACTGGCAAGGGGATTCCAGAATAGTGTGTATGAGTTTCAGCTACTTTTTTAAGCTTGACTAGTCTATTTAGTGTACTCTTTTACTCATTAAATTATTATAAGAGAAAATGCAAATGCATGAAAAATTAACTAATTTTATACAGAAATCATATGTAAACTTTTACATACTTTACTCATAAAAGGGGGATGTGTATTGTCAAATGTTCCATATTTTAAAAAAATTGATAAAGTGAACATCCGATTGATTCTTCTAAAAATCTGTTTAATGTTTCAGATGCTGTTGAAAATACTCCAGTGGATAGTACCATGATCAGGAAAACCAACATTCAGTCAAGCACTGTGATGAAAGTAGATGATGTAAAATCACATTCTTTACTGTGTGCTATGGATAAAGTACAAAAAGTAGATAAGAATTCTTCCTCTGGAAATACACACAGCAATTTTGCTAAAGGTAATTTTGTTTGGAGTTTTTTAGTTGCTTGCTCTTGGCCATCTCTGACTAGTGTGTGTCTCTTCTAGCACTTATAAGCTCTAGTCACTGAAAAGGCTTCTTTGTGTTAGATGCTGTAAAACAAAAACCAAAAATCCCTGGAGTTCTAAAGGTAATGCTTTTGAGCACCCTCATATCAGTTACTAGTTAGTGTTGTATGGTCAACTTCAATGTTCTATTTCAACTGATTTATTTTATAATTATATGGTAAAATGAGAAAATAAGGTAATCTAAGTATCCATTAAATTCTTTCAGCAGAGAAACCGAAGGCTTCTCAGACATCTCGTCTTCACCTGTATGATGTCACCAACATTTCATCTTCTGGTACAAAAAGTAGAACCTCACATCCATTTTTTAATATTAATGAAAAACCAGGAACTTCCAACCAGAGACGCAGGTGTACTATTAATGTGAATTATAAAGAACCAAATATCAGTGGGTCAGTATCTTAATTTATTGTCCAGTTTAATATACTAAAATATTTTGGTAGAAGGTACCTTTAGATTGGGATTTAATTTAATTAGAAATAAGAAGTTTAATGCAGGCAGTCCCCGGGTTACGTGGGTCCGACTTAAGTCGGACCCCTAGTTACGAACCGAGGGGAGGGGGGCTCCGCGTCTCCCTGGTCTGTTGGGGGGGGCGCAGCTAGTGCGCCCTCCCCACCCCAGCAGACCAGGCTTTTCTCGCCAACACCTGGGGTAGAGCAGCTGGGGGGCTGCTGGGTTGGTCCGACAGCACCGAGGTGCAGCGCTACTGGACCAACCCAGCAGAACTCCAGCTGCTCTGCCCCAGGCGTGTCCGATTCAGCGGCTGAATCTGGACGCCAGTTCCGACTTACATACAAATTCAACTTAAGAACAAACCTACAGTCCCTATCTTGTACGTAACCCGGGGACTGCCTGTAGTAATGCTACCTAATCCAATATCTACAAGTTAATTTAATGGACACCAATTCTGTGTGTGAATTCTCAGAGTTGCCATGTGAAGAGTGTGAAATGACATGCTCAGTTATAGCAATATAAAATTGGACTATTTTAACTCTCCTAAGACATTGCACATTACATATCAGAACTAGAAATTAAACTTTAATGAAACTGGTGGGTGAGGCAGTGGGTTAATGAAGCAGTCTTCCTAGTTTAACATTTTGTTTTGAGGTTCAGAATATTCAAATATGGGGTGCTGCCGGGTTGGTCCAGTAGCGTCGCACCTCGGTGCTGTGGGACCAACCCGGCAGCCCCCCAGCTGCTCTGCCCCAGGCATGTCCGATTCAGCCGCTGCTGGTCAGTTTCAACAGCGGCTGAATTTGGACACCAGTTCCGACCTACATACAAATTCAACTTAAGAACAAACCAACAGTCCCTATCTTGTACGTAACCCGGGGACTGCCTGTAATGTGAAATTCTGATTTTAATAGTGAATTGCTCAAGTGAATATTGTTAAATATGACGTTAGCTGAAAACTATAATTTATTATATCTAAAGCTGTGCAAGAATAATTTTTTTTCTAAATTATTTTGACAGGAAGCTCAGAAGAGGAGATCCATTTACAGATGTATGTTTTCTGAATTCTCCAATTTTCAAGCAGAAAAAAGACCTTAAACACAGTTCTGTTAAAAAGAAATCTCTGTCCAGATACAATGAGATATTTGTTGGATATCGTTAAGAAGCTCTTTTGCACCCTCTTGTGGTGTTATGAAGCAAAGAACATTTGGCTAACAAATTTGCTATGTAATTTGATTTTTACGGCACAGTGGTAATGTCTCTTAGACACTGTCCTGTGTACCAGGAAAATCTCACTGTATGTTTGCTTAGGTAGTGATATTATAGGCTACTTTAAATTTTGATTGCATGGGAATTTCTGTAGGGCTCAGATAATACATCTATGTCACTAAGATCATGAAGATAACAGTGTAAAGAGTAACTGCTATAGTGCTTGTTAATTTTAAAAGCAGTCTTGCTACCCAGCAATAGTTTCTATTTAAACTCTTCGGGGAAGAATACATTCCTGAACTTCACTGTGAAGTCCATTATGTGAAGGGCTGTTGAGAATCTCTGATGTAAAAAGGCAAGCACCATGTGAATTATTTGATTGATTACTAGGTTTGTCAGTCCCTGCTTACTGTAACCCCTCAGTTGATATAGACAAATTTATAGTAAAGCATGGAATCAGATCACAATTGTAAGTCAGCAAGTTTGTACAGATGTCTTCTTACTCATCCAAAGCTGTAATCTACTACTGTTGAAATTTATAATAAAACTTTTAGATTTTATAAAGTCTTACAGAGAACTTAAATTCTTACTATGGTGGTTTCAGTCTAAGTAAGACTGTTTCCATCACAACTTACATTAGAGTTACTTAGGTTGCTCAGGGGAGTAAATACATCACTTCCCTGATCTATGTTACTTACACTGGACAGCTCTGTCAGTGTAATAAGGTCCATGGGAGAGCATCTACATAGCTTCTGCCATTCGCAGGCAGGGCCTGAAGTAGGTAAGCTGATGGAGAACTTTTTCCCGTTTGCTTAGAGCAGATATTAGAAAACTTAAGAGGTGTGGCTGCACTGTTGTATACTCTACTATAGTAATGTCCTAACTCAGAAGTGATAAAATATGTAAAAAGCTTCTTGACATTGATCTAGCTGTTGGCATTTTAAGTTCCATGTGAAGTAGTTGGTATGTAGTGCAAGTCCAAACCAAAAATATTGGATAAGGTATGAGTATCACGAAGCAGTCTTCAGATGCAGTTTTCCCCAATACTAAACTACATCTATGTAGTCAAAATAAATCATACAGTGAATTAGAGATGTGAAAGTGCAACTGTGTAAACTAGAAAGGAGTACTGCAGAAAGGGATCTAGGGGTTATAGTGGACCACAAGCTGAATATGAGGCAGCAGAGTGATGCTGTTGCAGAAAAAGCAAACATGATTCTGGGATGCATTAACAGGTGTGTTGTGAGCAAGACACGAGAAATCATTCTTCCGCTCTACTCTGCACTAGTTTAGGCCTCAGTTGGAGTATTGTGTACAGTTCTGGACACCGCATTTCAAGAAAGATGTGGAGAAATTGGTGAGGGTCCAGAGAAGAGCAACAAGAATGATTAAAGGTCTAGACAATATGACCTATGAAGGAAGACTGAAGGAATTGGGTTTGTTTAGTTCAGAATAGAGAAGATTGAGGGGGGACATGATAGCAGTGTTCAGGTGTCTAAAAGAGTGTCATAAGGAGGAGGGAGAAAACTTGTCCATCTTGGCCTCTGAGGATAGAACAAGAAGCAATGGGCTTAAACTGCAGCAAGGGAGGTTTAGGTTGGACATTAGGAAAAAGTTCCTAACTGTCAGGGTAGTCAAACACTGGAATAAATTGCCCAGGGAGGTTGTGGAATCTCCATCTGTGGAGATATTTAAGAGTAGGTTAGATAAATGTCTATCAGGGATGGTCTAGACCAGAGTTTCCCAATTTTATTTGGCCACAGAACCCTTTTCAGCTTAAAAGAATTTCAAGGAGCCCCTAGAGGTGCCAGGGTAAAATTTGTCAAACAAACCCCCCTCCCCCCCCGCGCAAAATAGACTCTGTCTATTTAAGAGGGGGTGGGGGAGTGCCACATTCTCGCAGAACCCTTACTTTCGCTTTGCGGAACCCTGGGGTTCAGCGGAGCACCAATTGGGAAACACTGCTCTAGACAGTCGCTTCCCATTCTGTATGTGTGAAACTGATTGCTCCTCCAAAGTGGAGCACTTTGCACTTGTCTTTATTAAATTTCATCTTGTTTACCTCAGACCATTTCTCCAATTTGTCCAGATCATTTTGAATTATGACCCTATCCTCCAGATTAGTCGCAACTCCTCCCAGCTTGGTATCATCTGCAAACTTAATACGCGTACTTTCTATACCAATATCTAAATCGTTGATAAAGATATTGAACAGACGGTCCCAAAACAGACCCCTGCGGAACCCCACTTGTTATGGCTTACCAGCAGGATTGTGAACTATTAATAACTACTTTCTGAGTACGGTTATCCAGCCAGTTATGCACCCACCTTATAGTAGCCCCATCTAAGTTGTATTTCCCTAGTTTATTGATAAGAATATCATGCGAGACTGTATCAAATGCCTTACTAAAGTCTAGGTATATCACATCTACTGCTTCTCCCTTATCCACCAGACTTGTTATCCTATCAAAGAAAGCTATCAGATTGGTTTGACATGATTTGTTCTTTACAAATCCATGCTGGCTGTTCCCTATCACCTGGCTACCTTCCAAGTGTTTACAGATGATTTCCTTAATTACTTGCTCCATTATCTTCCCTAGCACAGAAATTAAACTAACTGGTCTGTAGTTTCCTGGGATGTTCTTATTTCCCTTTTTATAAATGGGCAATATATTTGCCTTTTTCCAGTCTTCTGGAATCTCTCCTGTCTCCCATGATTTTCAAAAGATGATAGGAGGTATCTGAGCCTCTAGCTATCAGCTCCTTGAGTATTCTAGGATGCATTTCATCAGGCCCTGGTGATGTGAAGGCATCTAACTTTTCTAAGTGATTTTTAACTTGTTCTTTTTTTATTTTATCTTCTAAACCTATCCCCTTCCCACTAGCATTCACTATGTTAAGCATTCCTTCAGACTTCTCAGTGAAGACCGAAACAAAGAAGTCATTAAGGATCTCTGCCATTTCCAAGTTTCCTGTTACTCCCTCCTCACTGACTACCCTGTCCTTCAGAGGCTGGTGTTCTTTTGTGAGAGTTCCTCTAATGATTCCTTTCAAAACCTTTCAGATCCAAGAGATACTTTGCATACTTCCCCAAACAGCAAACTGACTTCCAGATCATTTACAAACTCAAGAAAAACATGATTTCTGTAGTTTGTCCTTCTACAGTAAGTTCTCAAAAACAATATGAATTTGTCAATGATCTGATGATATAGAAATACTTGTTTATAAAATACATGACAAATAGTGAACAAAAGAACTGAGAATAGTAAAATTTGTTTGCATATAATTCTGAACAGAAAAAGGCAAATATAACAATACCGTGTGAAAGATTGAACAAGTTCTAAAAAATGAATGCAATTTTAGGGTATAGCTGGTACAGTCAGCAATTTAGAAGGTGCATTCCACAAGAACGTATATGAAACAATCAGCAAATGTCAAATCAGAGAAACTCTTGTCAGTTTTTATCTTATACCTCCCTCTACTTTCCACCACTGGCCTACGTCTACTTTGTGAAAAATTGTAACCGATTTTAACGTGGCACAAAAATTCCCATTTTGTCACCAAATCAAGGTCATAAATATTAGAAGGGAATGTTAGAAGACTCTGTGGAGTCTCTTGCTGACCATTTGTCTAGTCAGGTTTTGAGAGGCTCAGCCCTCCAGCTAAATCATAAAGTTCACAACCTTCCCTGGAGAGTCCAACTGAAAGTGACAGCTAAACAGTAGAGTAACACATGTAGAATACTGTTTTTTGAGAACTTACTGTAGAAGGGCAAACTATTGAAATCATGTTTTTTCTTGAGTTTGTAATCTGGAAGTCAGAGGAACTCTGCAGGAGCAGGTTAGGCTCTTGTATGGGAGGCCAGTAAGAACACTTCAGTGGAGCCTGAGTGGTATAGAATAATGAGGGTATTCTAACATACTGAAAATGTTGCTGTTTTCTATTTATTTCACTTCATATTAAATAAGCATTTAAAGTCATGCACCCTGCTAATTAGCCTTTGTTTTAGTATTCTTTCTTCCATAACTTGTGTGTATGTTAATATCTTGGGTGCCATGGTGGCACACATCCAAACAAACACACATGACCTCAATATTGGTGCACAAGACAAAACTCACTACACCCATAGATGGAAAATCTTAGAGGGAACACTGGAAGGAACCTTGAGCGGTCATCAGGTCCAGTCCCCTGCACTCATGGCAGGACCAAGCACCACCCCTAGATCATCACTGACAGGTGTTTGTCTAACCAGCTCTTAAAACCTCCCATGTTGGAGATTCTACAGCCTCCTAGGCAATTTATTCCAGTGTTTAATCACCCAGTTAGGAAGTTTTTCCTAATGTCTAGCCTAAACCTCCCTTGCTGCCATTTAAGCCCATTGCTTCTTGTCCTATCATCAAAGGTCAAAGGGAACAATTTTTCTCCCTCATAACAACCTTTTAGGTACTTAAAAGCTGTTATGTCCCCTCTCTTCCAAATTAACAAACTGTCCTTTCAATCTTCCCTTATAAGTCATGTTTCTTCATCGAGTGCTGTCCCCATGGGTACTCCACTTTAGGTGCTTGTGTGTCCTTGCACTAGTGATCGGACATCTTTTCTAGCAGTGCCCTATCGTGCAGCGCATGCTCAGTAGTGTCCCCTCACGCTGTCAGTGTCCATTAATTGTGCACGCAGCTCAGTACCTCCAGTTCCTTCTCTACCATCCTTGTCAGCGGAAGGAGCTTCTTGCAGTCACCCTCCATTGGCCTATAATGACAGTTTGAAAAAGTTCTTAACTGGGGAAAAGTGAAATGTGTTCAGAACCTTCTCTTCTGTTTTTTCTTCAAAAAACAAAAGTTCGTTTACCGCTGTTCTCTCCCCAGTTCAACATGCCTGGTTCCCCAGGATTTAAGAGGTGTGACTAGATTCTTATTCCAATAATCCTCTTCGACACGAAGACATCCTTCACGGGAGTCATGCTCATTCAGATCTACCCATGTGCTCCCCCCGCTCTCTAGTATGGTCAACACTGGCCACCACCTCCATATTGAAGTCAATGGCTTAGGCTATGTCTACACTACAGAGTTTTTTTGGAAAACCAGCTGTTTTTCTGAAAAAACTTCACTTACGTCCACACTGCAATCGCATTCTTTCAAAAAAAAATCAAAAGAACAGAAGGGTTTTTCCAACATTGGTAAACCTTTTTCTACAAGGAAGAAGACTTTTTCCCAAAGAGCTCTTTTGGAAAAAGGCGTGTGGAAAGTTTACGTCCCTTCCAGGGTTCTTCCTACACAAAACAGTCGGCGTACTATACCATGTCCTTTCCTCGCTTCACTGGTGAACACTGCTGCACATGTTAGAGGGTGTCCCATTCCAACAACAATTGCTATAATAATGGCTATAACCACAGACACCTCCCTTATGGGTTGGGAAGCACACCTGCCCTCCCAAAGGGCAAATGGTCCTACCAAGAGACTAGACTCCACGTCAGCCTCGTAGTGTTAATGCAGTACCCTATGCATTTTCTTCCACACATCAAGATCCACGCATACTAACAGACAATACATCATGCATGTATTACATCA